GCGTGAATGTTCCGGGTTGAATCGCTTGTAGAGTCGTGGATGCGCACTGCTGGGACATATTAGATTGTAATGAAACATTTATCCAGTGCTTCCCAGTTTTCAGTGGTTGTTTAACTACAATCAGTTCTTTATGTAAACTAAAAAGTCTGACGATTTCAACAAACCTCTCGTACTAAACGAAAATTGTTAGATTAAGCAAAAGAAATCAAATGATATCTATTTGTTAAGTACCGTAAAACGTCGAATCTCATTTACAACTTAAAAATATTTCTATTTAAACAGAATCAATGTGTAATTTTATTTTGAAGTATTGTAAGTTGTAAGTAGCTGAAAAGACCTAAATGAAATAAAAATGAATCTATGTTATTCTGTCCATATCTTTGTTCTCGCTCTCTTGGAGATGATAGTGGTAACTATGTGTATGAAATATGGCTGTGGTGTGCGCTACTGATATCGACAGATATAATTATCATGTATCATCAATCGAAAGTGAGATGTCAGGCAACAGAAAATTAAAACGATCGAAGGAAAGAGAACGAGAACAAAGAATGATTAGTGTAGAAACGAAAGAACAATAAAGTCTGAGACGATTGATTGACATTTTGCAAATGAAATATTTACTGTATAATTCTCAGATTTTACTAAAATGTCTCCACTTGTGTTCTCGTTTACTACATGGCACATAAGTGATAAATTACTATTTTAATTGAACATGCGTCGTAGACAATGAAAAGTTAACTATACAAAACCAAATGGTATTAAATAAATTTTTATTTATTTTAGAACTGTTCACTTGTTTAAAAAATGGATCTTTAGACGGATAATTTAAAAACTTAATATTATCGCATAAACTTTACGTGTATGCAAACTTCCGTCGATTAACAGTGACTTGGTAACCTTCAAGTGATTTATTTACCAAATGATTAATCAGCCTAAAAACTTGTGATAGCCATACAACATTCAATCAGTCCACAATAAATTAATAGTTATTGAACAATAAGTTTATCGACAAAAAATAACGATAATAAGTTTTATGTAAAAGGTATTCCAATTGTTCATAGTAGTAAACATCTAACTATCTATCAACCAATCAATCTACCTATAGAATAAAATATTCTTGAGTTTGAATTATAGAATCCGTGGAACTAGCTGCGATTCAAATAGATTTAATAGGTTGTTTTTGTGTCTCTATGTTTAGCATAAAATTTTTTTCATTTTCCCCTAATTAGGTCTTCAACATATGGTCGGAGAAAATATGTTAATCAATCGTTCCTATGCATTTAGATTTATTATTCAGTTTCAAGACAATGGTATATTAGCACGCTACAGTTATTGATAGTAATTGATGTCATTGGATAATAAATAAATGTTTCTGTCATTGAAAGAAAGACCGCATTGTCAGTAATGACTTTTCTAGATAAACTCAGATTTATACAGTTTGTTAAAAGATGAACAAACAGAGTTATCTCAGGTAGCCTTCTGAAATATTATGGTGGCTGAACTTAATAAAACCGAGTTATTTAGAAGATTGTGGTACAGCTTACTAGAATCAACATTTGTATGGGGTTGGACAAGCTTTTATTGCAGAATTGACTGTCAGATGTTATATATTCTCTAAAAATTTTGATTACCCTAAAGACGTCCACACAAGATTATTGGAAGAAACGGGACTATTTAACTTACAGTCTCTGAGATTATTTCAAATATAATTTTGACAAATGTCTCCCATATACTTGGAGCCACATTTCCGTCAACTTATTCGTTCAAATACTGACGAATATTCGTATAAATTATAGTATAACGTTTCAAAAACAATATACCCAATTATTTCGTTTAAAAAGCAAGCTAGAGTATCGTACAGGTGATCTTTTCACTTTTATAAGAGATTTGATTAATTTGATAATTAGAAAAAGGTAACCGGAAAACGTATCGTTACAAATAAACATCAGTCATTAACTCACATAAACACCTGGTTTATGGTGAAATGTGAATGGCTGAAGTATCTTTAACTAAGTTAAGCAGAATATAATAAGGACGTCTGAAATGGACAATTCTCCTGAGATTGTTATTAAAATGTAGTGATTGATTTCTGCGTAAAATCTCATATCTTGATATTGTAGTTTTATCGCACCTAAAAATTAAAAGAGAACGGCCACAACAAATCCTGAAGCATTTCAGAACTAAAGATTTTCTGAAATTAATGATTACACTCTAAGATATTTCATGAAGAATCAGCTTCCGCAAAGATCCAGAACATCAGAGACCCGACTTTGTTACTGATAAGAGTATTAAGAACATATCATTTTTATTACAAACAGTCCACACAATATTTGATTTATTTGAAATCTTGGTAATTATTTCCACGACACGAGCTCATTATCTTGCAATACCGTCAACTGGCGAACGATTCCAAACAAAAAGCAACTGTATGGCTGCTTCGTTCTAACTATATTATTTAAATATGTTACATCCAAATAAACGCCACTGTTATAACTTGAAAATTGGGTCCATCAAGACTGTTGTAACTGGGTAGCAGTTATATCTGGGCAGTTGTCGTTTTTATATATGTATCGACTTTATTGAATCTGCAGTCTTACTGATCTTACTTGACAATCGGGAACCACTGAAGTTCCTCGACCCTACTACTTATACTAGGAAACGGAAACACTACAATTCCCACGACGTAAAATGGAAACAAGAAAGACCGGTGCGCCGAAGATTTACATTTGCAAAGACACGTCTCCGAACAATTCTCAAAAATCACATCAACCTTACACCACAATCATTTCTATACCAATCTTTACACACAATATTATCATATGGGGGGGGGGAACTGAGATCAAACTGGATTGAGGTGATGGGCATTTGAATATGCTGATACTGATAGGTTGTGTAACTATTAGCATCATTAACAACCTTGGTAATTCATGAGTCCATTGAACAGACCATGTAAATTCATCAGCAGTGTGAAATCCTCAACCCTTCCTTATGATCTTTTGTGTACAAGGGTATAATATTCGAGTTAAAATGATTATAAGACTGGGAGCCAGTAAACATTTTGAAATACCTAATTAATTAGTTTAATGGGTTTCTTTTGAGTATAACAATGAGAGAATTGAAAACGAACACACTGGCTAAAGTGCTTCAATTTGTGATGAACACCATGTTCATCGTAATTAAATAAACCCAAACTCATAAATTTAGACGAGTGTCCTGATGAATAATTAGTTAATACATACTGTACACTTTTCAACATCCCAATATCTAAGTGTAAACTCCGCAAACAGCTTACTAAGACAGATACTTGATGATAAAACTCGAAGTCCAAATAAAAGGAGAAATATTAATTCGTATCTATACAATAATACTACTACCTTAGTTTACCATGTTTTCATAAACTTGCCTTTTAAAAATAAGAACTACTCATTCTTTTGATGGGTCTAGAGGTATTCCCATGATCTACAGTGAAATAGGTGGATTATGGGACCAATAAACTAAATTGAGATTAATATGCCACTAGGAACTAAGGGTTCGTTAAGATTATAAATTCTGATCAACCTGAAGTACTCAATCTCAAAATTTAATTACTAGCGTTTTATATAAGTTAAAGTAGTAAGGTTAAATCCTTTGGGTAACTCTAAGCAGTTTTAGTCTCGATGAACGTCTAAAATAAGGATAGTATGTCAGTCAGTAACAACGTAGAACTTCGTACGTACGCACATCAGTTCGAGTTGCCATACCACATTAGCACAGAGATGCAGTGGTTGATTCAAATCCCGTAGTGGTAGAGATAGTAAGAGTATAAGCAGTAATCGGAAAGATTAAGGTTTGAAGATGTTATTTAACGAGTATAATACAGTGAAATAAATTTGGAAAGAGAAAAAAAGAGACAAGGAGGAATCAGGAGATTAGGATTTGGGAGGACACAAGAGTAGATGCACCTGCAAACGATTTTGAGCTATGTCATTCAGGGTCTCTCGTCCATTGTCTGAGATAGATACTTGTCTCTATCCGACACGTATTGAAATCCACTGGTTACGCACAGTGGTTTAGAATTTAAGCGTTTGCACGCGAGATTGAAGGTTCTGGGTTCGAGTCCCGCATGTGGGATCGTGGACGCGCACTGCTGAGAAGTCCCATACTAGGACGAAACGACCATCCAGGTTTTCAATGGCGGTATAACTTGGATCGATTAATGAATTCAACTATTAAGATTACCACGATCTCCACAAGCCCTCACTCTGATAACCAAAAAGACATATAACTCTCTTTTCAGACCCGCCCAATCACATCGTGTAGTGATTTGATGGTCACAAGTTAAGCCTGATAATTAAGTCTGAATTTTGCTGGAAGATGAGATACCAGCGAAATTTATATTCTTTAACTGCCCAAATGAGATTCTACTTTAGCCCCATCAAGAGGAGTGAGCCTATGGAGCAGTACAACTATTCTTAATTACAGAACCGATAATTGTAGAAAAAGATATACTTATTCGCAACAACCTAACATTAAAAATGGTTAGTTACTAGTTTATTTTGCGACCATTAGTTAAAAAAGTGCCAGTGAAGAACTTTGTGACTATCCATAAAATGTATAGAACTCCCACCATCCACCAAAATGCATACTAGTAGTTAGAGAGATCAATAATTTATGTATACCTCTTCTACTGAAAATATCTTCTAATTGGACTGTCAGATTCATAATTTTTCACCTTAAAGTTTATAGTATTTGGGCTGGGTACGCTTTAGGAACTAAAAGCCATACATAATGCGCGGTAGCGTAAAATCTTTGAGTGAAAACCTGAGAACACTTAGGATACACTATTCGGCGATTATTTGCTAAAGATATGGAATGTTTCATGGGCTTTTGTAGAGCTGTTCCATAGTGTAACCGATAAGAATTGGAATTATTTCTTTCGGTCTGTTTTGTACTATTTCACAGATTAAAAGCTATTTTTACGAACGAACATAAAGTTACAGATATTCGATAATATATTTTGATTTTGATAACTTTTAAAATGCACTGACTAACATGAATTGAAACGAAATGATTACGTTTATTTTTGAACTACATAAAGAACAAAAACATTATGCAAAACAATACATTGATTTGAACGGCGGCTTAGAAGCTAAGGAATTCAACTTTTAAATAATAGGTCGAGAAGTTGAGTCTTACTTCACATACTTCTGTTCGAACAACCGGAAATAATCACTAAAGCTCACACAAAAAGCGTAACACAAGCTGAGTACACGGATATGTACTTAGTGAATTGCACAAATAAATAAGAATGACGCAATCAATCATTATCAAATTACTTTATAGAATAAACAAATTAATCTGAATAGGCACATTTCTGTACAATTACAATGCTTTTCATTGTTCAGTCCAGATATGGTGACATTTCATACAAGAATACTTGGTTGTGCTGGGTTCGTCAGCTGAACGTGTCTGCATTTGGACAAAATACGCTCGTGTGTGACCGCACTTAGGACACTTTTCATCTGTCTGAGCAGAAGAACTGTATTCATCTTCAACTGAGAAAACGGCGTCTTCCTCTAAACGTAAACGAACATCCTGTCTTGGCTTATGTTCTAAAACTAGTGGCTGAGTGACAAACCATCTGTAAGAACATAAGGGAGCAGAACAGTTCAGCGAATAGCAATGAGCCGACTCTTCGATCATCAATAAAGAGTGACAGAGGGGACAAAATAAAACAGGCATTACGCTGGATACTAAAGCGTAAACAATATCTAATTAGCAGGTAACCACATACTGTTACATAGAGAGGTTAGAAAATGCCTGAAAAGAAAAATATATGGTAAAAATGAAGCTATTATTTCACAGAACTGAGTAGATCTTAGATAATGAGTCTTTCTTGGAGGTTAGTGGTTAAAGCATTTGGGTTGTAACCACTAGATTGGGGATTTCAATTCTCATCTATTTCAAATTGGGAAGCCAGATAGCTACTGATCCTCATGTAGGAAGTGCAACTCAAAGCGAAATGTACGGACGAGAACTTAGAATGGTCTACATGATTATTTGCTCGTACTTTACGGTTTTTACGGGAATAATAAATCAAAAGGAATGTCCGCACAACTATCTACGCCTGATATTGAGAACAGCTAATACTGTATGAACTTTGCAACGTAGCAAAGAGTGGATAGGCCTATTCATATTACTAGTAAACAGAAACGTTAACAATAATTTGCAAGCAGACTTCGGACGCTGTAATCAGGACCAGAGGACGTTGGCTTTCTTTAAATACATCTAAAATATAACATTGTTTTGTAGTAGGTCCAAACCTAAACAACAGTTTACGGAAAATGCATATTGACGAATCATTAATTTAAATCGATACATAACACGTATCAGTTGCTACATCTAAGTAACAAGATGTCAAAAAGCTGCCTTATACTGGGCTTTCTAAAAAACAGAGAATTCCCCAATAAGTTTTTTCTATTAAGTTTGTTGGTGACCACTGATGATCAATAAGAATTTTGTGTTAATTTGACACCCTGCGTGTAGATACGAACGGTGATCAACATACTTAAATTCTAATAACCAAATAGTATTAGCCTTTTGGTAAGACAAACCTATATTTATTTACTGAGTTTTTTTATCTTTGCGTGTGTACCTAATCTAAAACATTCATACAATAACTTGTCCAGAGACAATTACATAAAAGGGTGTAAGAACTTGGGGAACTGTGTTACGAAGCATAAAATTAGTATAAGTCGCAATGATTATCTTAATGGATGGAGATAATTTTACTTTTGAATAGACCTAAGATTGCTCGCCTGTTACACCTAAACGGAGTCAGATACCGCTTTCAGATAAAAAGAATACATGATGTGATGATTGTAACATACAGTAAAAACAGGACGAACTGATTTGATTTACCTAAGAGTCAGTACGATGAATTGAAATTTAAGCACTTATACATCTTAGGATTAGCCACCTATATAGAATAAAACTGGTTTAGAAATACCGTTGAATTTATTGTAGAAAAAAAATGTTTTCTAGATAATGTGAAGCAAATGTCTGCCTTCTACAAAATAGTCTAGTGAGTAACTAAAGAACTCTATAACGCCAACCTAGAATGGATGTCTTTTGTTATTTTACTATTAGTGCACTATGAAAGTAATATCGAAGCAACAAAAAAGGTTTTGGAAAAGTTAATTAAATGTTGAAATGCATGCATACAGGTGAAAATGCACCAAATTGTTTCCTTTTCCTCCAACTTGCACGGTGATAGTGGAGGCTTTCTCTTAAATTCCCCCATTGATGCGAAATGCCTCGAAACTAACACCTTAACTTTTCTCCAAAATAAAAACTAAACTACTTCCTCCAAGTAGTAATACTGGAGTCAACAATTCGGTATTATTTAACACCAAACTGTCTACGCTACAGAATTAACGACGAGCTATCCATTGTTCCGCAATAATAAGTCAAGCAATCGACATTTTGTACGATTTCTACATGTTCGGTTAGAATGAACAGACTAATCTACTACATTGTAAACTAGTACAAGCGATATCAGTCTTTCAATTTTGGGAAGGCTGGAATAGAAGACTTTGGGTAAATAAGACAAAAATCACGAGATTTCGGCTCATCCGGGGTTTTGAGGAAATCCCTAAAACCCATGGGAATCTCGAGTTCTCCCCAATATTTCCTCACACTTTGGGGAAAGCTGCGAACTTCCATATAACTTTGGAAATACCCTCTCAAATTCCCCGAGATTCGGAGACTGGGATCTCCTGTATTTCGATTGAAACACGAAAAACCATAATGGCCGATTAAAGATCAGTACCGCAGAAGGGCTGGTTAGTGCTACACGAGATAGTTTTAGTTCTCAATATTATCATAGGTCATGGGGATATGACCTCGGATATCCTCGTTTAAAATATTTCAAACAAGGATATCGATGAGGAGTAAGGACATTGTTACACAAGCTCGACTAACTCTAAAAACCAAACCTTTTCTAGACTTCGATAGGAAATTTAATAACTAGCTTATTGGAAGTTACCGAATGAAGTGAAGTCAACTACATTACATAAACCACACAACCAAACGAGAAATGCAAGGCAAAACAAGGTAACGCTTCAAGGATATCGTCCACTGACTCAGGTTGCGAACAATTGAAGGTCAAACTGTCGTAAGATGATCGGGGCGTCACATCGACAATTCGTGAAGTTTTGCAGAAGCGATCAAATCAAGAAACTTTCATTTGAACTCAGTTAAGTTACACTATATCTGATAACGTCCATCCTTCAAGTAACGAAAACGATGCCGTCGTGATGATGCATGATATAGGACGAATTTTCAATGATATGTTATTGCAACGATTTACAAGTTGGGACAATTTTGAGACCTATTTGAAAGAAGTTCATAATGTGATATGAATCCTGCGGTTAATAATCACTTTCGTAGTACACGAATAGTAAGTACGTTATTTCAGTATGTAAAAAGAACGATGATGACCCAACTCTAAAGTATTTTTTCGTCAGAAATGTCTGTACATATGAACGTAAACGCAGTTCGTCAGAATCAGATGCTTGTGTTCATGATGTAGATTATGATAGTGATCATTATTCTCCCTAAGAGCATACAACTTTCAAATCACCACAACAATCTAGACAAAGAAGACGACGTCAGTCATTTACGTATGCCCCATTTCGAAAGAATTTATCCTTCAGATCGAAATATTGCCATTGTCAATCCGGATTTTGGGTCCACGCGCAGTAAACGGTGAGCTGAAAGTTACCTCTACTAAGACTGCGCACAACTCGAGCTCCCAAGTTTGGGGGAATTTCGGGGAATTTTAGTTAACCATCCTCGCACAGAAGGATATATTTCAGTAGGTCCTCCAAGACGACAAATGACGTCAATTGAACGCTTATATTGAAAAAAAAGTTTCTATTGAGTAATACGCCAACTCGTAGCTTACGTCAACTGGTTTCTTGCAAGTCGCACAAAAAGCTTACCAAGGACAAAGTCAGACCATTTCAAAGGTACCCGCCGTTTTGTCTCAACGACCTTGAACGGCCTGACAATTGAGTTTGTTGGGTGTCTTTTTGATGGGTGGGTTTATTCGCAACGCAACCATGTAAGCCTGATGTATGTATGTATGCATATATTTCAAGTTTTCACACGTTTAAATCGTCTTGTGCCGCAGTGGAATCACGAAATCACTGCGAAAAGCATTAATTTAGCTTCCTCTGTTTCGTAGAGTACACGTAGGCTCTATTGTTGGTTCGTGACTTGACCTGGGATATCAACCACTCTACTGAACCTCACCGTCCTTGATTAAAACTTTTTGAGGTCCATGAAGCAGAATTAAAGATACTCGAAGTTTGTGTGAATCGCTATTTTACTCAGTTTCAGTTTCAGTTTCAGTTTGGGAAGGACAGGAGGCTCGATGGCCTATGTTAGTCCTGGCAATGGTGGTCTCTCAGTTGATCCAACTTTCTTTTGAAAGAGTCGACGGATGGAGCCTCAACCACGTGCTGAGGTAGTGAATTCCACTCGTTGGTGATTCGATGGGAAAGTCGATAGTCAGCTGACAAGTAATTTGTTCTCGGCTTATGAACTTTTTTGGAGTGTCCTCGTAAATTCTCTGTTTTGGAAGACAAAAAAAATGAGGGCATGTTAGGTGCAAATTTATCACTAAGCAATTTGTAGACTGTAATCAAGTCGCCTCTAGTTCTGCGATATGACAACGGGAAAAGGTTCAGCTTGGCCAGTCGAGATTCATACGGAAGCTTCGCTATTGCGGGAACCAGCTTAGTCGCCATTCTCTGAACCTTTTCCAGAAGCTCTCTGTCTTTTTTAAAGCAGGGGCTAGCCGCTTGTATGCAGTACTCAAGTTTAGGACGAACGAACACTGTATACAAAGTCAAAAACGTCTCAGTGTCGACATGACTAAAAGCCCTACGTATTGACCATAACGTTCTAAAACTTTTGGCGGCTATTGCACGGCAGTGTGCAGTAGTCTTTAAGTCTTGACTAACGATAACTCCTAAGTCATTATATGTCTGGACGACAGGTAGCTCAGTGTTATTCATCGTGTATGTATCTGTGCCTTGATGACCGATATGCATCACAACACACTTGGAAGTATTTATCGGCAACTGCCATGTTTGAGACCATTCAGATAACTTCTTCAGGTCATTTTGAAGTTCTAAGCTATCACTCTTACATCGTATCGTTCTCCATATCTTGACATCGTCAGCATATAGCAAGACCGATGATGATAGGAGACAAGGAAGATCATTTACATATAAGAGGAATAGCACTGGCCCCAAGACTGTACCCTGGGGCACTCCACTAAGCACAGTTTCCCAGCTAGATAACTTTGAGTTCACTTTTACTCTTTGTTGACGCCCAACTAAGAAGTCTTTTATCCACATCAATAAATTACCTCCAATCCCGACATGTCTTAACTTATATAACAGCCGGTTGTGCGGAACTTTATCAAAAGCTTTACTGAAATCAATGAAGGCGACGTCTACAGGTAGCTTTTGGTCCTTAAGAGCACACCAGCTTTCACGAGCCACTAATAAGTTAGTGAGACAAGAATAACCTATTCTGAAGCCATGCTGCTTCTCCGAGAGGATCCGGTTTTTATCGAGATACTTAAACAGCTCCTTCCGAATAATCTTTTCTAATATTTTAACAACCACACTAGTTAGGCTAACGGGGCGGTAGTTCTCAGGTTTGTGTTTCGTGCCTGTTTTGAAGACAGGACTTACTATGGCGTTTTTCCAATCTTTCGGTAAGCGACCCTGCGTAACGGATAGGTTAAAGCATGTACTTAAAGGGTTCGCAACGAAGTTAGATAATTCCTTCAGTAGCCTAGGATGTAATTCATCGGGCCCCGTGGATTTACCTATGTCAAGCTTATTTAGCAGACCAAAGACATCGAGTTTTTTAATGGTCACGCTATCCAGTGTATGTATGGGGGGATCTGTATACGCTGACGAGAAGGGCGCTTCTATGGTATACACGTTGCTAAAGTAGTTCGAGAACGCTTGAGCCTTACCAAAGTCGTCCTCCACTAATGATGAAGCAGTACTGTCTCCCCATAGAGCAGGAATATTTCCTTTTCTCCTTGTCCTTTGGTTTATATAGGAATACAAGCGTTTAGGACATTCTATGGATTCCTTAACAAGTTTTTCTTCGTACAATTTTCTAGACTTACGGAGGGTCGAGGCACAAGTGTTCCGAGCCTTTCCATACTGAGATTTTGACTCATCAGTCCCCAGTAACCTAAATCTATCCCACGTTTTCCTTTTCTTACGGAGAAGGATACGGACCTCCCTACTGAACCATGGTGGTGAGTTTTTCGGCCCCTTTGGTATAGTCCAAGGGATGTGAGGTGTGGTAACTTTTAAGTATGATTTTCGAAATGTGTCCCAGGCCGTTTCAATGGAGGACTCTGGGTCTATTGTCCAATCTATTAACGATGCTGAGTGCATGATGTCTGGTATGTTTGCTTTCCAGACGTTGGGTCTGGACTGGACTGACGCGTCCTCATGACTGGCAGTTATATGGAAGTCGAAAGTTAAAACTGCGTGGTCACTTTTACCTAAGGGTGGCATATGGTGGAGGTTCGCAACATCATCCTCATAGTGAGTCAGTATAAGATCTAATAAGGATGATTCAGTGTCCGGGTCGTACCTAGTCGCTTCTTTCACATGTTGCACTAGGGCACATGTGATAACCGCATCAACTAGTTCCTGCTCAAAGGAATTTTCTGACGATTCAGTTCGCAGATTTTCCCAGTCTACCATTGGTGCATTAAAGTCCCCTAGGATTAGACATCGACCACTTTGGGACCAAGTATTGAGACTGCTTAACAGGATCTCATTTGCCTCACAGCTTGGACTGCGATAGACCAAACCAATCAGCATCTCTTGTCCCTTGCATTTTAAGCGAAGACTAACTAATTCGCATGTCCCACTCTCATGGGATACACTATCGATAATGGTAAATGGGATAGCATTCCTAATGAATAGAGCTACTCCCCCTCCTTTGCGCTTTTGTGTTCTGTCGGCCCTTACTAATGTAAAGCCCTCGAAATCAAGTTCTATACTATCTATAGCCTGTGTCAGCCAGGTTTCTGTTACTGCGATTATATCTGGCTTTATAGAGTCAATCTGTACACCTAGTTCCGATCGCTTATTAAGTAAGCTTCGTGCATTGGTGTAACAGATCCGAAGCCTGTTTAGGTGCCTTCGTGCTTCACCCAGAGTGGCTTCGGCATCATTCTCTGTCGAAGTCTTACAACCCGAAAATTTACAATTTTCAGGTCCTTTTCGCCAGCGTCTAACCTATGTTGTAGTTCTTTCTCGGCTTCCCGTCTTTTAACACGGTCTGCCAACGGTAGGTCCTTTCGGATAAAGACTCCCGAACCCTTTAATTTGTGTCCATTTTGTAAAATTAGGTCACGTTCGTTTGAAGAGCCGAATACTACTTTAAGCAGTCTGGAATGATTTGGTTTCGAGTCCGTTAGACTCCCTAGTCTATACACCTTTAGCAAGGTGACCCCAGTCATATTTTGAGGCATGAGTTGATTAAGCAGCTGCCTAATCAGTACAATGTCATGCTCAAAACGAGCTTTAGGTTCAGAGCTATCGCTCTCCTTAATTCTATGAAAAATAGCTGATCTGTCGCTATGATCAGCTTTCGATTTTTCAACCACTTTTACGGGGGCAGGTTTCCCTTTTATGTCAATACTTTTCTTCCTTACAACCTTTACCCATTCGTTAACGCTGCTGGTAGAAGCAGTAGCAGTTGCGTCAAAACTAGTGTTGGGTTTTGGGGGGTTGTCGACGACCTGAGGGGTCGTGTTATGTTTACCAGTCGAAACCGATCGAGCCTTGCGATTGCGGCTCCTAGGTGTTTCCTGTTGGATCCCATCTGGGAGACGGGGAACAGAAGACCCTGCTTTTCTTGAGCTTTTTTTTAAGGCAGACCCCTTTGGATACTGCTTTTTCTTCTTCGACGAACGTGAGTCATCTATCACCGGACTCACCTTAGTTTCCTTCACATTGATTTGCGTGTCAACAGATCGAGTGCTGTTTGACGCGTTCCGACTATGCTTGTTGAAACACTTCTTGGCAGCATCAACCAGTGAGATAGCCTCGGTTAACAAGCTGTTTGCATCCGAGCAGCACTGTTGACAAAGCCACACACAACCCTTCTTACTGAACCGTTTGAAAGCAGCAGGCGTTAAGTTCGTGCAAACTTCGTGGTACCAGCCTTTGCACTCGTCGCACTGCATGCCGCTTTCAACAGGATAACGACAACCCGGACGTTGACAACTGCTTTTTTTACACTGTCCGGTCATTTAGGAGGGGTTTTTTCAATATGCGATGATACCCAGAAACAAAAAAATTATCAATAACCAAAAAAGTGAAGAGCTGTAGATTGCTAGGACCAAAAGTACTAACAGATACAGTTGAAAAAGTGGTACTAAAGAGTACTAACGACAAAGCAGTAAAAACGATACTTTAGTCGAATACTTTAACTGAAATAAATTCAATTAAAGTGAAAAACAGTAGTCTTGATACGTAATAAACGATCAAAACAATGAAATTTACTCAGCGAGGAAAAATACCACTGTCCTTTTTAAATAGCGACGAAATGTCAAGGAACCGGTAAGTCCTAAATGTTTGTAGTACCCAATCAACCATCAAAGGAGAAATAAATGGAAAAATGCGTTGGAAAATAAAGAGGAAGTGAAGGTAAAACGCGCCAAATAGTCTGCTTTTTCGCGTTTCCGGGGGAAATAATGCAGATTTCTCCCTTTTTGTGGCTCTGTCTCTCAAATGTCACTGAATTGTCTACTTATCGCCTAAATACACGCTAAATCGTCTACTTTAGTTCCAACTTTTAAAACGCCATTGGTGTAACCCCAAAGGTCTCCTATGTTCGCCTTTATTCCCACAACACACCACTCTGAAACTGCAATCCACGTGAAAAATGTTGTATGTTGAAATAAA